AAAATTTCTTGCTGACATAAATTATTACGATCTACTTTATATACTCTTCATATTATAATTCTCTTTTTTTTTTTATTGGAAAGAGGGAATCGCGAGCTTCCTCTTGACACAATCGCGATTTGGTACCCTGCCGTGTACGCGTTCCATTTGACTGACACGCTGTATTTATATTTATGTCACTTTTCTCGATGCAATTATCGCGAACAGAATAGTGCATGTTACGCAACAGATACAATGATCAATGTTACGATCAATGTTATTTTAATGCAAGTTTTAGCGACCGTATACTTTGTCCGACCATCAAGGTTCCGCGCCTTGGACATTTGAATGATTTATTAAATTCCATAAATAAAACACGAGTGTATATGTAACACCCACGTACTTTTCACGAACACGTGACAGCGAGGTGTGCTCGCTGTAAGATCGATTCGATAGTTCTTCGTGGTAATACTACTGTGCTAGAGTTTGCCACATTTCGCATGTGTGACGAGCCAACGATTAATAGTTTATCTAGTTATATAGAACTGCCCCAGTAGATATATAATAAACGAGTGTAAAGCAATATGTGTTATAGATTAACCAATTAACTACGAAAAAAATCGACTGTAGAAATATTATGTCTTCCTTTTCACGATTGTTCGAGTTATATTTTTCAATCGTGCAAACAAATTTTTGTCTTTTTTCTTAATATCTCTAATTGTTTGCTGTCATATTTTTTTCAATGCAATGCGAATGACAAATATCTACATATATCTAATGAGAATCATTGATATTTTTTTATAAACATAGAGGCCTATGTATAATAAAAATGTTTTGTTTATTGTGTCATCTTTACAGAAACAGAGAGGCGGATTCGCGCCAACAATCGCGAATACAACTCACAGTTTAATTATGCGGTAAGAGAAAAGTATCTTCTTACATTTTTTACTATTTTATCAGAGTCTTGTATGAGTAAAATTTAAAAAATTAAAAATATATATTGTTATAAAGAAAAATTTAATATCTGAAGATGATAAAAACATTACATACGAATATTTTTATTGTTTTGCAGAATAATTACATCAAGACGTCCAAGTATTCGGTTCTGACGTTCCTACCATTGAATTTGTTCGAGCAGTTTCAGCGGCTCGCTAACTTTTACTTCCTATGTCTGTTGGTGCTTCAGATGATCCCCGCCATATCCTCTTTAACCCCTATCACCACAGCCATACCGCTTATAGGGGTACTCACGCTCACTGCCGTCAAAGATGCCTACGACGACTTTGTAAGTTTCTTTTCTTACCATCAATGCTTTCGTTATTTTTTGCTACATTCTGCGAAAATGTACAAGAACGATCAAATGAGCTATATATTAAAACTAGTATCAAAACTAATATAAAAAAAAGTTGTAAAATTATACATAAATATATAATTATAAACGTTATTTAGACAAATATGTAGATAAAAAAATTACTAACTTTTAAGAGAGAGAGAAAAAAATTAAAATATTATTTCGCGAAAAAATGTGATGCGGTAATTTAATTTTTAGCAACGGCATAGCAACGATTCTCAAGTAAATAATAGGAAATCCCGAACATTGCGGGGAACTAATCTTCGTGAGGAGAAATGGTCGCAAGTTCAAGTGGGCGATGTAATCAGAATGGAGAATGATCAGTTTGTTGCAGCAGACGTTTTGCTCTTGTCAACAAGCGAGCCGAACGGTCTCTGTTATATCGAAACAGCTGAATTGGACGGGTATAGTTTATAAAATTGCTTAATTATATACGATTAAACATATATCTATAGAGATGGACCGTTGCATTAATCTGTGAAACTCTTGTAGGGAGACGAATTTGAAGAGCCGTCATTGCTTGCCCGAAACTGCCGAGATGATGGATAATCATGAATTGATCGGCCAATTCGATGGAGAAATCGTTTGCGAAACCCCGAATAATTTGTTGAATAAATTCGATGGAACACTCACATGGAGAGGACAAAAGTAAGATTTATATCGTAAATGAACAAAACGAGAACCGAGTATTTTAAATGGAATATTCCGCAGAAGATCGCGTTTCTTGCAAAAACTGGAGATAGCTGGTTCTTGTTTTGCGCGTATCAAGTTTATTTAACTATCATTTATATCAGGTGAGAGATGTCGACTTTAATGTTTGGCAAATATTGCAGATACGCATTGGATAACGACAAGATTATTTTACGAGGCTGTGTTCTCAGGAACACGCAGTGGTGCTATGGCATGGTGATCTTTGCAGGCAAGGATACCAAACTGATGCAAAACTCAGGGAAGACCAAATTTAAGAGGACCTCTATAGATAGGCTGCTGAATCTTCTCATCATCGGGATAGTGTTTTTTTTACTTTCCTTATGTCTGTTCTGCATGGTCGGCTGTGGTATTTGGGAAAGTTTGGTAGGTCGTTATTTCCAAACGTATCTACCATGGGACTCGTTAGTGCCGAGCGAGCCCATAACCGGTGCCACAGTGATCGCTCTACTCGTGTTCTTTTCGTACTCTATTGTACTGAACACAGTGGTGCCAATCAGTTTGTATGTGAGTGTTGAAGTTATTCGATTTGTTCAGTCGTTTTTGATAAATTGGGATGAAGAAATGTACTACGCGCCCACAAAAACGCACGCTAAAGCTAGGACTACCACGTTAAACGAAGAGCTCGGCCAAATAGAATATATATTCTCTGATAAAACCGGGACATTGACGCAGAACATAATGACTTTCAACAAGTGTTCTGTGGCAGGAAAATGTTACGGTGACATCATCGATGAGGTTACTGGCGAGGTCATCGATTTGAGCGAGGTGAGTTGCTACTTTCATTAATACGAAGATCTCTGACTCTCGATGCTGACGATAGGGTACGTGTGCTACATATTCATATAATTGTTACTTATTATAAAATTATATACATATTGTCCAAGATAAGAGCAATACGTTATCCGCATTATATAGCTATGCTTCCAATGTTGCGCGAAAAGAATATTAGTCATATATGCTTTTGCTAGAAATTTTTTGTTATTGTACAGAGGGGGGAATCATACTGCATTGGGAATATGACAATAATGATAACATTTTACTCTCATATTATATATTTTTTTATTATAATTTTTATTATTTTTTAACATAATTTCTAATGTTCTAATTTCTGATATAATGATTATGCAAGAAACTATAAAATATATATCTCTTTTTCTTTTTGCAATTGTTTTAGCAAAACGTATTAAAACATACATCACTAGTAAATCGGCATTGAAAATGTCCTCGCACACATTGTTACATGCTTACATAACTTGTAGACTATTCCTGAGTGTCGATATACATTGCGACTTTTTTTTAATCATACACGATGTTTTTCTTTAATTATATGCAAATTTAATCTCAATATGTATCATGGTCGTAACTTTGCAAGAGATTTCATATACATCACTTAGCATGTGTGTGCTGCATGTATAGACGGACAGAGCTGTTCCAACGCCGACGATGCGATGGAAGAACGGACAGGAATTTGTACGTCCAGTTTATACACCTTTAAGTGGTCCGAACGTACGTCTTCTGGAACAAGCAGACAGAGTATCCAATACAACACCGGAACCCGGTATCAACGGCAACCCAAAGATTCCACACAAGTCTTCAGTACGCATGTTGATAATTAGCACCTCTTGTCACGGAATCTGTACATGCTATCGCTTTTATCTGTTTGTCATTGCGATTGTACACATCACATTCAATATTATCTGTTTATCATTGCATTCTATATCATACACAATATCATGTAAGTCAAAGCGTTTCTAGTATCTTTGTTATGCTCAATAAAGTAACTCATATCTCAAACGTGTCTGCATTGATGGCTTATGAACTATATTTGTATCTCATTTGTGTTCTCTCTTGCGCGTTAAAACTTTGTTATAAAATAGATATGCTATGTTTTTGCTCTTATTTTTTTATTATATTAATACATTGTTAAGATTAATTTCTTTTATAATTGTCTTGTAATATATATGCTTCAGAGGAAATTCAACTAATAATATATATATATATAACTTGTGTCTCTTTTTTCAATTAATTTATTTTTATGAAGACAAAATATATTATTCTGAGTAATACATATGAAGATTTCTAGCTTTCTGTTTAGCTTTCTTTACTTTCTTTCTTAACAACAGCAGAATTCCCGATTTTTCGTTATATAATACGATTAATTTTCTCCCTTCTATATTACTAACTTCATTGTAATATACACGAAAAAAACAATCAAGTTCTTGAAAAATCTCGTTGTATATTTTGCAGACAATGCCACCTTTGGATTTCTCATTTAACAAGGATTACGAACCAGACTTCAAGTTCTACGATCCTGCCCTGCTTGAAGCCGTGAAACGAGGGAATCAGGATGTCCACAGTTTTTTCAGATTGCTGGCACTCTGTCACACTGTTATGCCGGAAGATAAACATGGCAAGATTGAATACCAAGCACAGTCGCCCGATGAGGCTGCCCTCGTATCCGCCGCTAGAAATTTTGGCTTTGTCTTCAAGGAAAGATCGCCCAACAGTATAACGATCGAAGTAATGGGAAAAAAAGAGATATACGAATTACTCTGCATTCTGGATTTTAATAACGTACGAAAGAGAATGTCCGTAATTTTGAGAAAAGACGGGCATCTTCGATTGTATTGCAAAGGAGCGGATAATGTTATTTACGAGCGATTGAAAAAAGGTAGCGAAGAAATAATGGCGAAAACATTGGATCATCTGAATAAGTTTGCAGGCGAAGGTTTAAGAACATTGTGCCTTTCCGTGAGGGACTTGGACGAAAGCTTTTTCAATAATTGGAAACAACGTCATCAAGAAGCGGCATTAAGCCAAGAACATAGAGACGACAAGCTGGACGCGATTTATGAAGAGATAGAAAAAGATATGTCATTATTGGGTGCTACTGCCATCGAAGATAAATTGCAAGATGGTGTGCCTCAGACCATTGCCAATCTGGGTCTCGCTGGTATCAAGCTTTGGGTATTAACTGGTGACAAGCAAGGTAAGTTTTTGAATATAAACATTATAACATGTGAACATATCTGTTTTAATAGAGTAACATTTTCACATTAAACTCTTTTACAGAGACAGCTATCAACATCGGATACTCGTGTCAGTTGCTGACGGACGATCTCACGGATGTCTTCGTGATAGATGCTACCACTTATGACGGCGTGGAGACACAATTGACGCGATGTTTGGATACCATTAAGACAGCCTCGACTCAACAAAAACGGCCGACTCTTTCCATCGTCACATTCAGGTGGGATAAGGAAAGGTCAGGCACATGAAAGAGACGGAGTACAATCTATTAACTCCTTCTATTGCTGATTCTGATTAACGCATTCGTTTAAAAAAAGAAAAGAAAAATTGATTTTTCATAATGAATGTGGCATTATGTTTCATGTAATGCTTTATATGTCTATATAGTTGTGTTTATATAAAAATTTATTATATTTAACTGCAGGAGACTCTTACGCTTTATATCCAAGTTAGTGGATCTTGCAATGCAATTTAAATTATAATGATTATCCAGAAAATAAGAAATAAAAATATTCTTAGACATTTATTCTCGGACAATTATAAGAATGTGATGACGAATCATATTTTATTACAGCGCTTAATTCATTGTATGTGCATTGATTTTATACATTTCATCTTCTGTTTATCTATCGCCAAGATCCAACTTAATGATATGCATGTGTATCTGATAGTATTATCTAGTACCTTTTGTATTTAAGAAAGCATTACAAAATTGTCTTTGTATCTTGCAACTATCAAAGATATCGAAACTTGCTACATTATTGTTGATAATATAATCAGCAATATAATCAAGCTGTGTTTAGAATGATAGACTGAGACTGGTAGAAATCTTTTTAAATCACTTCAGATATTTTCCAGATACTGCACATGTCATATCTGAGGTATTCTATGATTTAGTGTGATATATTTATAATCATAGATAACTGAGAACTATCATGATGCTTGATATTCACTCCTTCTCTTTCTATATGCTTAATAATATAATCTTAGTGACATTATATATTAACATAATTGGTATGTTGCTTGTGTCACGTTCTTGTATCTGTAGTTATTAATACAACACACTGTGTATTGTTTATGATTAACGTGCATTATTTTTAATAACGTAAAGTTTCAAAATTTCCTGTTGTTTTGTTAATGATGAGGTTGCGATTTATTATCTATCTTTTCTCATAACTATTTATTGGTCTAATTTTTGTTATAACTCTATATCTTATATGAATTTAATGAAGTCGAGCTCGTTTAAATGAATATCAAATCGTTATTTATTTTGAATGAAGTAACCACATTTTGCTTGAAGGCTCTTTTCTTTGCACAGCAGTGATACAGAATATAATCCTAGTAGAGATGAACAGGATGAACATGAAATGGAGCATTCAACAGGATTTGCAGTGGTTATCAATGGACATTCTTTAGTTCACGCGTTGCATCCACAGCTGGAACAGCTTTTTCTAGAAATGTCTAGTCAATGTAAGTTCAAATCATTTACATTTAGATTTATATTTACAGGTATGAATTTTACAGGTAAAGCTGTAATATGTTGTCGGGTGACACCACTGCAGAAAGCGATGGTCGTTGAATTGATTAAGAAAAATAAATCCGCGGTGACTTTGGCAATTGGTGATGGCGCCAATGACGTTTCGATGATAAAAACGGCTCATATTGGCGTTGGTATCAGCGGGCAGGAAGGATTGCAGGCCGTGTTGGCCTCGGACTATTCGATAGGGCAATTTAGATTCTTAGAAAGATTACTTTTGGTCCATGGCAGGTGGTCATACTACAGAATGAGTAAATTCCTTAGATATTTTTTTTATAAGAACTTTGCATTCACTCTCTGTCACATTTGGTTTGCCTTCTTCTGTGGATTCAGTGCACAGGTAAGACATTTGAATACTTTGCATATTATTGTATTACAATAATGAAAAAAAATACAATTAAAAACAAATGATGTTTCAAAGGCGAATATGATTTATAATACTCCTTTGTAAGAGCTTGCTCCAAAGTCGAGATATTTGGAATATGAATTTAAGTTTTTCTCTGATAATAGATTGTAGAAAATAATAGATGGATTGCGAGCGATTAAAATTGTACAATTGTAATCAATCATTTCTTGTATATATTTTCTTGCAGACTGTGTTTGATCCTATGTACATCTCTGTCTACAATCTATTTTATACTTCGTTACCGGTTTTGGCAGTTGGCATTTTTGATCAAGATGTTAATGACAAGAATAGTCTAATGTATCCAAAATTATACGCACCAGGATTGCAGAACTTGCTCTTCAACAAGAAGGAATTTTGTTGGAGCGCTCTGCATGGATTTTATGCAAGTTGTGTATTATTTTTAGTACCTTATGGTAAATATTTTGCACCTATTTATTGAAAGAGCTCTATATTAATGCTCATTCTTAAATAAATCATAACAATATAAATCTATACACGCGCGCATATTTTGTGTATTTCAACAGGAACATACAAAGATGGAGTGTCACCAAAGGGTTATGTACTTTCTGATCACATGTTGCTGGGCAGTGTAGTAGCTACTATATTAGTTATAGTTGTAACCGTTCAAATAGCCCTCGACACGTCGTACTGGACAGTTTTTAACCACATTATGGTGTGGGGTTCGCTCATTTGGTATTTTATTTTAGATTACTTCTACAACTTTGTCATAGGTGGTAGTTATGTGGGCAGCCTTACCATGGTAGGTATTGTTGCACGAATCGTTTATATTCTCCAAAATTACAAACATTTTAATCACTTAACTTGCATTTGCAGGCTATGTCGGAGGCGACCTTTTGGTTTACAACGGTGATATCTTGTATAATCCTCGTTATACCGGTACTTTCGTGGCGATTCTTCTTTATGGATGTCAGGCCGACATTGTCCGACAGAGTCAGACTGAAACAGAGGCTGGCACAATTGCGTTCCCGTCAAAGTCAGGATATATTGCGTACACCGTCTACGAGACGTACACGACGATCTCTACGGTCGGGCTACGCTTTCGCTCACCAAGAAGGTTTCGGCAGACTTATCACGTCCGGGAAAATTATGCGCAAATTGCCAAATGGTGCTGATTTTAAGTTTTCTATGCCTTTTACGAACAATGTTACAAAACAAGTTAATGTTGCCACAACATCACCAAAGGACAATAGTGCATCTAGAAATTCGCACACATTGGACACTATTAATTTATAATAACTCAAGAATATCAGTTAGAACTTAACAAGATACTAAAGTGCAGGTGATTCTAGTGAATTTTTCTTAATTTATTTAGTTATGAATGTGTGTTAAGTCAAAATTTTTAACGCGTCGGATTTATTGATTTCGGTGTATCCCATTGAAATCGTATTCCTATTTTCTTTTTTTTGTATTAATTGAGAGGCGTAAGTGATATATTGTGTGCAGTATTCGCGAGGATCTCGTAAAGAATCGATGTCTGTGATTATATTACATTTAAATATTTATTTTGAAGAACATTTTTGAACAATTAGAATCACTATTATGATCTATAAAGGATACTTATAAACGATAAGTGACAACATTAAAATAAATGTGTCTATAATACAAAGAATTCCAATGGGATACATTGAATTACACTACAATAGAAGTAGCATATGCTATTTATGTCTATACATCACATTAAGCATTAAGCAAACCTGTTATAATTATGACTTAAATATTATATTTTCACGTGTTCAATAATTTTTTAATTATATCTGTGCACTTTTGCCAAGTAAATGCATGAAATATGCATACTTGATTTAAGATTTTGGTGTTGCAATTGTTTTCATTATGTATGTAAATGATAATTTTATAATCATATATACACTGTATGGAAAAAATAGCTTATGCTACATTATAATATGTTTGTAATTGTTATTATAAAATTTCGTATTTGTTGGAAAACAATCGTGAATATCTCAGCATATTATAGATAAAATCTTTGATTTCTTTTTTTAACAAATGTTATGATAATTGTATGTGTTTAGATTCTCTTCGTATGTTGATATAGAACAACATTGAAGTAAGTATTAATAGAAAATGTTGAAAAATGTTTTTTATTTAATATAAAATTAATTTTTAACCATATAATAATTGGATAAATGAATTTATTATGGTTATTTTTTTTATTCACGCATATATTATGGGTGAACTATTAATTTATTATTAAAATAATATTAAGATAATTCTTTTGCACAATATATACAAAGCATTTCTCTCATTGAAAGTTCTAAACAATTGGAAGAATACATTTTCTGTATATAGTACTGTTTATAATTTTTGATCCATTTTATTGAAAATTGTAGCATAAAAATTAATGTAATAATGGTGAAAAGAATAATTTGCATTGCCATGCACTCCTCATGTATATAACAGAAATGTCACATGGAGAGGTGTCAAAATCTTGTAAAAAATATCTTATCTCTCTTGTATTATATTATTCTAGTATGAACATAGTTGTAAAAACAGAAGATGTTTACACGATATATTACGATAAGAATAGTAGTTATATTAATAATTGCCTTTATAAGATATAAATACAACAAATGATTTAAAATATTGTATCATAGCATTGAATGTAAATATTTTAAAGAGATATATATTATATATTAAATGTTAAGTATACATTTTTTAAAAGAAAGTAATATATAGATATATATATATAGATCGATTTAAAGGAAATATGAAGATAGTAGCTATATTGTATTACATTATCGCGGATAAAAAGTTTGCCTTGGACTGACTACTGAATATATATAATATTAAAGTGAAAAAGAAGCAGTAGTAAAACAATGGAGAGTATGTATTTCTACTTTTAATATTACAATAAAGTTTAGGGAGAAATAGTCTGTATGGGAAAAATATTCCACAATCAAAAGATCTTTCTCAAATAGAGAACCTTAAAATTTTGGTTGCTTTGAAATATTGTGCCTAATCGTCAAACTATACAGAGCGTCTCAAACTCACTTAAAATTTCGTTAGTTTATGTTTATGTGAGATGTACTTTTCGTTTTCTATGTGAATAACAAACAAATGTGAAATAAGTATGTGGATTACTTTAAATTATTAGTTTCACAGATGTAGGCATTCGTTAGTTTTTGCAATAATCTCTTTTGTATCATAAAATATATGCTCATCCAAAGTTTGCAATACAAAAATGAATTCTCTCTTATAAGCTTCTGAAGTTTTTCTTTCGCTTATCATAAAACATCAAATTTTAACATGTTGCAGTCTTAAAGAAAATAAATTACTGTTGAGGGATCCATGAAATGGTAGTATAATATTCATTCTCAATTTGAATGATAATTGATGAGTTTTATATGCCATATCCCATTATATATTACTTATTACAAAAAAAAATTGTTTTAAATTTGTTTGAAAATTTTTTTGAGAATGGAATTTTGTTTTTAAAATGAAGTTTACAAATAATAAAAGCATTACCTTATTATTTGCGCAAATAACTTTTGCATGTGGTAAAGATAAAATACCAAGAATCATATAAATGGACTGAAAGAATATATTTAAAAACTAAAAACGACGCTAGAATTGTATAATAAATTTCATCAAATCAAATATTGAAACATATACATCATACTGTCATGATAATTTCTCATTATTGAAATATAAACATGTTCGCTCTTCATATATGGGAAAAGTAAGCTTATATAAATTATATATAAGCAAAACATAATAACTCACATTTTTTAGAAAAATTGATTTATACATTTATTTTCATTATTTTTTATATTATTCATAATAATCTTTTAATTATCACTTTATACAAGATTGTTAACATGCATGATGTACATATACATCATGAGCTTGTCAATTACAAGTAAAATCCTTATCTGCAAAATTAAATATCGAAATTCTGAAAAGATGTATTTTGTAACATGTATGCTGTACAGATTTATTTTAGATATGTTATAATTATATAAATAATTTACTCTTTTTTTTATTTTTGAACTACATAGTCTAAAAGCTTTCTATTAACGTCTGAATTAATATTTTGATTAATATTGCATAGAAAAATTATACAGATATTTGGAAATTTTGGTAATTAATCTTGATGTGCTTGCTTAATATAAAATGTATAAGAGTAATATGTAATCATAAAATATTGTTGATTGCATAAGAAGTGTTACAATGTGTATGTTACAAGTCAAATGCTGAATCAAATTTAAAAGCAGAGTGTGTCTGTCTGCTGCATGTGCTCTATACTCATTATGTATTAGATATTAATTGGTAGATATAGAATTCAAAAAAACATACAAATTCACTTCAGCTTTAACTTTCCTATAGCAGTTTGTGCGTACTTTTCGCAAACATTTTGTTTTTTTTGTTTCCACATATACAGGTTTTTTTATGGAATAATATACAATGCAATAATGTGAAAAATCAAATAGAGTATAAATATGCACATATATTATATATGTGAATTGCTAAGTAGTAGAATTTCTTTATTTGAATATTTTTTGCTTGAAATAAATCATTATTTTGTCAGTAATTTAATTTTTTGGTACTGTGTCTAGTATTTTTTTGTTAATATGTCTTTACTTTTAATACAGAGATTCACGCTACTAATATTCATATTGATATTTATAAAAACTAATATTTTGTTTCCTCCCGACTGTTTAAACATTAGGATTAACAAATTTCATAATAGAGCTATGCAGAGACGTGCAGCTTACGCAAATCAATATTAATATTTAGGATATACCTTGTACATGTTAATAAAGTTTAATACAATCGCAAAAAAATATGTACACTATATGTATATGATATATATA